TGGATTTCATTTATAGTTTTTTCTATGCTTCAGCACCTTAAGTAATTAGAATTTTACTATAGTTCAGGGTCAGCAAGAGGGGAGAAATTTGTTAAAATTGAATGGATTGAATTTTTCCTTTTAAGAAAGTAGACAGAAAATGCTTTGTGACATTCAAACACAGGGTTCTGTTAATTGTGTAGTATAACAGAGTTTTTTCACTTAAGGCGAAAAAAAAAGTGATATTCCAACATCCTATATGCCTGATTGTCTATTTAATTGTAGTTTAATTTAAAATGCATTTTCTCAGTTTGCACTACCTACATCTTAGTTGTTCATTAGCCAAGTGAGGCCAGCCAGTAGTTAAACATATTGGACATGTGAATATAGAACATTTATCATTGGCAGAAAGCATTTTGGATAGCAATACTCTAAATTTCCCATGCTATTATTCATTTACAAAATGCTTATTTGTAGATAATATGTATCTCCAGGCAGTTTTTAGGATACTATTGTTAGTACATATATGAGGGCATTTTTCCCTTGAAAGCATGTTTCCTTACATTACTAATAAATTTATACATATGGCAAATAGTAGGCATTTAACATTTATTTAACAGTAAATTTATTATATATTTTGAATTGTTACATTCTAAAGTGTGTACGACTGCTGTATTCATTATAGTAGAAAGAATATAATATAAAATTTAAAAGATTAAAAGACTAATACAATCTCTTCTACACTGAAAAAAAGTATATAAGTTACAATCCTGACTAGACTTTAGTATGCCCCACCTGGTCTTCTATTTGATAAAATTAAGGAATATTTGAAAAAGGATTAATTATTCTTCATCTTCATGCACTGGGATTTTTTTCATCTATGAATATATGTAAACATTTCTAGTGTTTTATTTGATGAATAGGAAATGTATAATTTGATTACAAACTTTTATCTTAAACTAGCAGCTTATATTAACTGCATATTTTCTTTAAGTCAAGTTCTATACCAAGCTTTGTACAGAACAAACTTACTAACTCAATCCTCAGAATGACCCCATAAAATACATGCTTTCACCTACCCATGTTTACAGAGGAGGAAAGTCAAGCAAAAAAAAAAACCAAAACAAAACAATTGATGTTGCTAATGATCAAGCAGTTGCTAGTGACAGAGCCACCATAAAACTCAGATTATCTGACTTCAGAAGCAGGCTTTCAACCTGTGCATTTTAAGTGCCTAGGCTGGTTTCTGGTTCTAGAGTAGAGATCAGGAATCATAAAGGGCCACACAGTGCCTATGAAACTTTGGGGTCAGGAGGCAAAGTTGAAAACTTTTTTTAGGAACAGCGCTCTGTTTTCTCTCAGATCTATGTCCTCTCCCACCCTGTGCATTTGACTGAGTTTACAGTGCCACCCATGAGTTCACTTCCATTGAGGGGTCTTTCAGATCAATTAGATAGCTGTTGATTGCCCCTCAGATAACAGTGCCAAAAGTGGTAGTGCCAATGTTTGTCTTACCTGTTTGACAGTGCATGAACCTACAGAGAAACTTAATGTTTAAATATGTTTCCCATATTTTCATTAGATTTTTCCTACAATTTTTGGTTGAATTTATTACAAAGCACTATTGGGGCTACAACAGAAACTAAAATCAAAAGCAATTCAGTATAATATTGAATACCACATTCATTCTTACGGTAGTGAAGGGCAGTTCCAATTCTTTTTTAAATTTTTATTTTTATTTTATGTGTATGAGTGTATTGCCTGCATGTATGTAAATGCACCTGTGTTGTGCAGTTCCCATGGATGTCAGAAGAGGGTGTCAGATACCCTGGAACTGGGGTTATAGATGGTAGCTGCTGTGTGAGTGCTGGGAGCCAAATCCAGGTCCTCTGCAAGAGCAGCCAGTGCTCTTAACTGCTCGGCCATCTCTCCAACTCCATTCCTTTTTTTAATTTTTAAAATTATTTTTATTTTAGTAAAGGACATTTCTTGTGCAGAAAAGTTTTAATATGAGTATTGAGTTCAAAACAAATTGCCATAGAAATGGTGACACTAAGCCAACTAACTAGTCTGTGATAGGGTGACACTAAGCCAACTAACTACTCTGTTGATAGTTAAATCCATAGAGTAGCTGATTGTCACTGTTAGGGTTAGCTTCAGTTACTAACTTTACATACTTGGGAAAAGGGACCACAACTGGGGAATTTCCTCTGTTGGACTGGCCTGTGAGCATGTCCATGAGGCATTTCCTTGATCTTTGACTGATGTGGGAGGGCCCAGCCTAGTGTGGGAGGTACCACCTCTGGGCTGTTGGTCCTGGGTTATATAAGAACAGTGGCTGAACAAACCAGCAATCAGCATTCCTCCATAGTTTCTGCCTCAGTTCCTGCCGGGTTCCTACCTTGAGTTCCTTGCCTGAGTTCCCTCAGTGATGAACTGTGACATGAAATTGTAAGCCAAATAAACTCTTCCTCAAGTTGGTTTTGGTCAGTATTTTATCACAACGGTAGAGAAGCCAACTAATTAATGTCACTATTGACAGCTCTAGTTCAGTAGCACAAAACTGAGTGACATATATTCCACAAAGTATGAAATCATAAACAACAGGCTTTAAACACCTTCCATTTTCATAAGCTTCACTTTGTATGTTTAAACTCTTTGCACCACATGCATTTTTATTGTACAGTAGCACATCTTAGCAGGTTCAACTGCAGCTTGTATGGAATGTTTCTTAGAAAATAATCTTGCCTGTAAAATTGTTCTACACAAAAATTCACAGTCACTTCAAACTACGCTAATGCCTAGCTAATACTCATCAAATATACTATTACTATGATTCAGCCATACTCACGGGAAACCATTTGATTTTTACTTAGAATTATTATTATTGACTATGGATGTTCCTAGTGTTCTCCATTCTTCAGCTGTTCTTGCCAAAAAGCTAATTTAAGAAATTTAAGAAAGTTTATTCTGAACATGTTTCTTCATCTGATGCAACCAAACACAATTAAGTTACCATTGGTAAAAGGCTTTCTTGCTTGGCTAATATTTGAGTGACTTTGGTTGAAATTTTCATTTTTAATTATTGAAAATGCTGATGTTTTAAGAAATGCCTTTAAACTTCTAATTTTTCTAATTTTTAACATATTCTTTTTAGAACGTCTTTTGTCATTACATGTTAAGTATGTTCTGCCATCTAATTTTATAACAAAATAATCCTTAGTCCTCTGTGTCTTAAAAAAATGTTATTTGGAGTTTACTTTCTTTCTTGTTTCGGCATTGTAGATACTGGTACTAAAAGAAAAAAAATACTGTGATATGACAGAAAATCTGTGGTTAAAACTGCATCATTACAGTTTATTCTGTGCCGAACAGCAGTGTGAAAATGGTGAGGGCCTCACATGAGTCTCTGGCATCTCTTCAGCCATAATGGTCTGTCCAGGACAGCTGGGGCTACAGAGAGACCCTGTCTCAAAAAGACAAAAATTAAATAAATAAATAAAATAAAATAAATAAAATGAGTCTTTCTGTAGGAAAACAGTGAGGGGTGCGGGTGAAGTGGTCACACAGATTACCTCAGTGAGGGGTGCAGGTGGTCACACAGAGTACCTAAGTGAGGGGTGCGGGTGGTCACACAGAGTACCTCAGTGAGGGGTGCGGCTGGTCACACAGAGTACCTCAGTGAGGGGTGCGGCTGGTCACACAGAGGACCTCAGTGAGGGGTGCGGCTGGTCACACAGAGGACCTCAGTGAGGGGTGCGGCTGGTCACACAGAGGACCTCAGTGAGGGGTGCGGCTGGTCACACAGAGGACCTCAGTGAGGGGTGCGGCTGGTCACACAGAGGACCTCAGTGAGGGGTGCGGCTGGTCACACAGAGGACCTCAGTGAGGGGTGCGGCTGGTCACACAGAGGACCTCAGTGAGGGGTGCGGCTGGTCACACAGAGGACCTCAGTGAGGGGTGCGGCTGGTCACACAGAGGACCTCAGTGAGGGGTGCGGCTGGTCACACAGAGGACCTCAGTGAGGGGTGCGGCTGGTCACACAGAGGACCTCAGTGAGGGGTGCGGCTGGTCACACAGAGGACCTCAGTGAGGGGTGCGGCTGGTCACACAGAGGACCTCAGTGAGGGGTGCGGCTGGTCACACAGAGGACCTCAGTGAGGGGTGCGGCTGGTCACACAGAGGACCTCAGTGAGGGGTGCGGCTGGTCACACAGAGGACCTCAGTGAGGGGTGCGGCTGGTCACACAGAGGACCTCAGTGAGGGGTGCGGCTGGTCACACAGAGGACCTCAGTGAGGGGTGCGGCTGGTCACACAGAGGACCTCAGTGAGGGGTGCGGCTGGTCACACAGAGGACCTCAGTGAGGGG